AGAATATATAAATAAAATACCTAATATATTTATATATTATTTTTACGTGTATTTGTATGTGTTACAGATTAGAGTATTTATACCACAACTCTTTTGCACAACATGATGCCTAAAATAAAACCTTGGCAAGAGTTTTAACTTGAGAAAATGGAGGAGAAGACGATCTGAGAGGAAGAGGAGGCCTAGGAGACGCATCAAGCACTGGTAGAGCAACTTTGCGGTAAACATTATTGCTTATTTTTGTATAATTATTTAGTTTTTCCTATTTATTTGGATTAAAGGAAGTAACCTAAATTCTCATAAACGTTTATTCTTATAAAGATCTCTTTTGTAAAAAATGTATAATTATTTTTAAAAATATTGAATTGAGAGACGATTAAAAAATTCTTGGCCTGTAAAAATTGCTTTTTAAATTAATGATTAGTTTGAACACTACTTTAATTTGGATCCTTTGTATGTTTTACAGAATCATCGTAGCTAGGTAGCTGATAACTCTACTATTGTGCATCGGTCGGTGAGTGACAAAAAACTTTAATATGTGGCGACGAATCTATGAAACATTAAGATGTATAGTATTGATATCATTATATTAATGATATTAGAAATAAATATAAAATTTCTCGGATCCATTACTTGGAAACAGACAAGCTATAAAATATTAATTACGACAAATATTTAATCTTAAAATCTTTTCTTTGTTAATTTCATGTACTAAAATAAAAATCAGAATTTTAGTCACTAATACTTTCCTAAAATTTATTACAAATAAGTAAATATTCAAATTAAAAAAAAATCAAAGTAAGCTTTCATTTTTCTTACGAACAATAAAAAAATTCTTATATTTGAAGTTGTATCTTAATAGAAATAATTCTTGAAACATCTTCATCGATTCGATGGATAGTCTTCTTTTCTTCATAAATATATAACGGATCAATGAAAATTATATTAAATAATTTCATATCAACATCAGTATAATTATATTAGAAATAAATGTAAAACTTCATAGCTTCGTTGCTTTAAAATGACTGGCATATAAAGGGTTATGATAAATATTTAATCTTGGACAATATTTTCATTATATATTAACATTGTTGCATGTAATTATAAAAACTGGAACAAAAAATCGTCAATACTTGTGAAAATTAAATGTCAATTAAATTTCGACCTATTGTTCAGTTTAGAATTCCCATTAATATAGGATTTGTCATAGATCTGTTATGATTGCTTAATCGATTGATAAAAATGCAAGTAGGCAGAGAGGCTATTATAATTTGCACGGGTAGGTAGGAATCTTGTCAGAAGATAAGGGAATTTTAATTCGAAAGAATGTATTGAAAAGGCATAATTAACATAAAGGTAATAATTAAAAATAGATACAGAAAGAAATATAGGAAATAATAATATTTTTATAAAGGGATTTTATAGGGGAATAAGGGATATAGCAAGAATATTTTTATAAAATATGCAAACAAAATATTATATTTTATTAAATTCTAATATAAACAACATATTAAAACATAATTTAATATATAAAATATTATCTTTTAAAATATTATCTTTATTCAAATGAGCAAACAAGGCTACATTCGATTAAAGCAGATCTTCATGTTTAATAATATTTTAATATAAATTTTACAATTTCTAGTTCAAGCAAACATTACACTGATTACTTGTCGGGAAACTAAGTCCTAACCTAAAATTAAAGTATACAATAGTTGCTTTCCATTTGCATACAAGTGAAACTGAGTCTGAAGTGAGCTGAGTATTTCATATTCAGATTAATGACGTCGTTATTTACTTAGTTTGATAAAAAATTATTACATGACAATACAGGTTCGAACCTCATTTTTAAAATAAATTTATGAGACTCTAAAGCACATGGAATCGTGCAGATTATAGGCAAAAACTCAATTAAATCTCAGAATGTAAAAGGAACGCGCATTCAATTGAGTTATGACGTCACAAGTGAGAATTATCTGAGAATCGGTGTAAATGGAAAACAATTAATATCATAAATTAAACTGACAAGCAATTTAATAATATTATCTGTTATTTATGTATTATTATTGTGTACATTATATTAAGCTTCTAATACGTATAATATTAAATTCGGGTGGATGTTATTAAAACCCTCTAATTCAAATATAATTAAGCATATTAAGTAAACATACGTTAAATCTGAAAATTAAACCACACGTGCTTTATTATTTCTGTTCGAAATTTCACAGAAATCAAAAAGCAGATATATATTTCAATGTGTTTACCTTTGAATTTTATTTTAGAATTATTCA